GTCCATGTTGTTAGTTGCGTTCCTCACCGATCTGGTCGGGTCCTTCTGTCATGAGTTGCGGGTTGAAGTGGTGAGGAGAGAACGCTGAGACCCAGGTTATGGTGAAAAGATGATTTAATGAAGTGGCTCAACACGGTCCAGTCAGGCAGCACGGCAGGAACAATTAGCACACAGCTAACAACCGGTAGCAACTGACAATGTGAATCTTGAGCTAAGCAAACCAGGACTGTACAGTTCTACTGGAAAGCAACAGACACGATAGACAACGACAAACTTAGACACGACGAGGATCCGACGAGGAACACAGACAACAGGTGGGTTTAAATACACACGGGGTAATCAAGGGAATGAGACACACCTGGGAAACAATCAACGGGGAGGACGCAGAGACAGACTCACAGGACTACACAGAAACTCAAAAATAAACACACAGAAACACGGAACATGACAGTTGAAAATGTGTAATTGAATCAATGTTGTTTTGTGGTTGAAATCTAATAAATAAAATGCTTTATCTGATCAACATCTGATCAATGTTGAATCAATGTATGCTGTTTTGTCACACCCTTTCCCCTCCTCACCGGAGCTCTGTGTCAGAGCTTTTTATTATTGAGCGGGGATAATCACGTTTCAAATTAAGCACTGTTGAGGATAGTGGGTGGTGATTCCTTTCTGTACATTTCCTTACTTGTCCATAAAAATTATTGCTGACTGTTTATCTGTGATATATTGACACAAAAACATCTACAACTATGAATTTACAAGAAGTGAAACAGTCCACCCCCACTATTTATATGAGAGGGATGTCCCAACCAAACAACCACTTTGCGGTTGACTTGTTTGCAAAAGACGTTACTTCAATGTTGAATTATGGTCACAAAGGTTGAATTTATGGTTAAAGCTGACGACTGATGGTGGATAAACCATCAAACAGTTATCCAATTCTAGCCAATGTTGAATCAATGTTGTTTTCTGGTCGAATTCTATTGATTGAAATGCCAATGCATATTCCAGTGTTTTTCATACTACTCCTCAAGGCACACTGCCTTGCAAGTTTTAGGCATTTCCCTAATTCAGCACACATGATTTTAATTGATGGCTGATTAACAGGGTTTTGCTGAATTACACTCACGCAGGTCAGTTTGAGGACCAGTGTTGGGAAAAACTGCTAATCAATTTTGAATCCAAGTATGCTGTTTGTTCCACCCCTCCTGGTGGGGTAGATCCCACTACATCCTCATCTCCCCCTACTCCCCCAAACCTTCATGTCTTCTCACCCCTTCCACCCTCCCTTCCCCTTGCCCTCCTTGCGCAATTGGGCCTGGAACATTTTATTACTGAGTGGGGGTTAATCATGTTTCAAATTAAGCACTACATGTTGAGAACAGTAAGTTGTGACACCTTTCTGTACAATTTCTTACTTGTCTATAAATATTATTACTGACTGTGCATAATGTGTGTTGACACAAAAACATCTACAAGTCACTAAAAGCAGTGGAATGGTCTGCCTTCCCCATTTTACACTAGTGGTTTGTCCCTGGTTCTGAATTGAATTCTACTCTGAGCACTTTTGTGGTAAATTTGGCAATATTACTTTTATCTTAAATGTGTTTATTGAAAACTAACTGCATTGTTTTGTTCCTATAGTAATCTTGGTTATTTTGGGGCAAACCAGATATTTTTAATAATTGAGGTCATGTCTCCCTTCGTATTTTTTTTAAAATTCTGCCCACGTATTAAATCCTATGAGATTTTGTGGGAATTGAGTTTTTAAAAGTAGGGCGGGGCCTATTGTTTGGTCTGGGAGAGCATGTGGTGAACAAGGAAGTCTAGGGCTGCAGGTAGTGATGGGCAAATGAAGTCTCATGAAGCAATTTATATATGTTATAAATATATTATAATTTATATATGTTATTATTATATTTAGCTACATGCAGAATTTTAGTCCTGCAACAGTATTAACTGATATGTCTTTGCCAAACTAATATATCTTTGCCAATCAAACTACAAATAATAGAGGAAGTTTCCAGAAGGTGAGAAATTGGGAGGTGGAGGGGTTAATTATTTTTATTTAAGAATAATTTTATTGTGACTCAAAGTATTTCCAGATGTCAGACATTTTCCTCTTGGCGACCCCATTTTAGGCAATCAATCAAGTTTATTTGTGTAGCTGTAGCACATTTCAGCAACAATGCAGTTCAAATAGATTTACATCATAGAATAACAAAAATACAGTCATGAAAACACCATAATCAACAATCGAGAAAACCAGTAACACGTATACATTTTGATGAGTGCCATCATCAATACACATCAAATATGTTGGTCAATGTTTCTTTTATTTCAGGCACTGCTGAAGACAAATATTATCCTCTGATGTGCAACCAAATTACATACAACCCATGAAGCAGCATGGCTCATCGTGCTTTTATTTTGAAAACTGTCACGTAAAATGAAGCAGTCATGTGTCCCAAGTAATGCGAGGCATCGTTTGTTGTAAGTCACGTGGTTTTCAGAAAGACAACACAAGCCTCGAAGCGGGGCTTCAACTGACACGCCCCTTTTTACTCGGTACATGTCTCAAAGTCCTCGAAGTGGCTTCATTATGCACCAGAACGGGAGGAAGGCATCATGGAACCAAAGTGACTCCAACCAGAGTCAAACTTGGGTTGTCCCAACTTGTACTGTTTCCCTGGTTCATACACTACAAGGCTTAACCTCCTGGATGCTGTTCTTCCATAGACAATTGACTGTTGTTCTGACAGTCAAAAAGGAGTCAAATATGTTTAAAGACCTATCCCTGTTTTCTTAAATAAAATGTTATATTATTGCCATATTGTCATTTTAACTTTATGTACACATATTTTTTGGAAATGTGTTAATGTGTGATAATTTTGAACAACATATGCCCATGATACCCATAATCTGCCAATATAATTGTGTGTTTAACACCCGTGAAGAAACTTTTAGTGGTATATTATGATGTAGACTTATCAGACCAAAAAATTTACATGAATCAACATTGATTCCTTAGCTTTCATTCAATATAAAATCAATCCAAATGTGCATGTAGATCCACATTCAGATGATAGTTGAATCAACATTGTCTCCTAACATTGATTCAATATAAAATCAACACAAATATACATGCAGATCCATGTTCAAATGATAGTTGAATAAACGTTGATTCCTAACTGATTCAATGTAAAATCAACACAAATCTGCATGCAGATCCACATTCAAATGATGGTTGAATCAATGTTGATTCCTAACTGATTCAATATAAAATCCACCTAAATGATGGTTTTTATATTGAATCAATCAACATTGATGTAGTGTCAGTTATGTTTGAAACACTAATGTTGATTCAACATGTAAGTCACGAACCACTTTTGATTCTGTTTCAATGCCAGGCTGTTTCTACCTGACATTGTTTGAATGTTGTTTCACTCATATTGTGCTATCTGGGTAATGTGTGCCTTGACATACTATTTTCTTTCCATCCATCCGTTTTCTTGTACACCCTTGTCCCTTAGTCGGGTCGGGAGGGTTGCCGGTGCCTATCTCCAAGTAACGTTCCGGGCAAGAGGAGGGGTACACCCTGGACAGGTCGCCAGTCTGTCGTAGACTATTTTCTTTGAATTTTCTATAAAGATGGAAAAAACTAAAACTGCTATAATTCTGCCTTCTAACTCAAAACGTCACATGAATTGTGGGTAAAACACTTCGCCGAAGTCAGCATGGATGTGGACTCAGCATAAGGGCAGAAATAGGATTGAAAATGGGCGAAGCTTAGGGCGGATGTGGATAATTTGGGACACACTATGCCAGTGATGCCCAAAGTCGGTCCTCGAGGGCCGGTGTACTTTGGGCATCACTACACTACGCACTCAAATCCTTCAACATGATTGCACATTTGAAGGGCACAAGAGTGGAACAAGGGTAGAAGTGAGTATTGGGACGAGGCCCTTATCTGTATTCTGCTGTAACTTGTCTTTGGAGGAAGCTGAAGAAAACTTTAATAAGCAGATAGAGAATAAACAGCTCAATGATACACCTCTGTGTTTTGTTGTTTTCAGGCAGCATTTCCAGGAAACCTCCAGTTGGTGTTGGTGCTGAGACCTTCCAGATTCTTTCAGAGGACAATAGCTGATATCGGAATAAAGCTCCACAAGGATGACTTCAAAATGAAGGTACAGAGACACAACAATATGTTTTCAATCCATAAAACATCTACATTTGTACTGAGCACTCATTTTTGAAAGAAAAGTTATTTGGTTTCTGAAGTCTGTATTTCTTCTGTCAGTAGGTAAAAAATTTAATTAAAATAATTTTTGTAAAGACTTTTTTTCACCAAATGTGACACACTTTTCACTTTCACTTACTGTTTTCTTTCCTGATTTTTATTATATCTAATCATTGACTGACCTGTATTTCAATAGAAACAAGGCTAAGCCAAAGTACCACAGACCTTCTGAACTTAAAATATTTTGTTTTACCCATTGTTTGACTTCAGAACAAATGCTTCTTTTTTAAATCAGAGTACTGCTATGTCTTTAATTCCCAGACATAACTAAATCTATATTTTTAAAGGGTAAATGTTTTTGTGGCAAAACATCTATAATGTAGGATGTGGTTCTGAACACTTAAATTATTGTAGTACTTTTCTTCCAGATTGTTATGCTGAACTCTCTGTCAGATCTTCATGGGTATGTGGATAAAAGTCAGCTGACCCAGGAGTTTGGAGGAAGTCTTGAGTACTCTCACAGCCAGTGGATACACCACCGAACTGTGAGTAAATATTGAGCATAAAATAATTAATATTTTTACTTTAAGTTCTACTTCATAAGTAGGTAACTAGCTAAAACCCAGCCTTGGTGAGCACAATGTCATGGTGTGTTTAGTTCTTTCAACTATGGGGAACCCTTTTGAAATAGTCCTCAATATTCATAGCACAAATATGTCACATATATTACATACATGGATATTTATTTAGAAGATTACTTATGAGTTAGTTAATGATGAGACTTGATTAGATTCCCAGTTTGACTGCTGGACGGAAGTGGTATTTTGTTAACACACACAGACAACCATATGGTGCAAAACATAGTGCAAATATTTACAAAAATATATCCAATAAGTACTTGAAATTTTCTACAGTATGAATGTCTATTTATCTGATCCTCATTTTGCTTGAAACTGGTGATCTTCATCCCTGACCACAAGTTTTTGATATTGTTCCTCTGTACTTTTATCTCCAAATAATTCCTGTTTTTCTCCATGCTGTTTCTAATCTTGGCTTTGAGCTGCTTCTATAAACTCCTCAAAAACTCCTTGTCTCGTCCGCCAAAAGTCCTTTTTTTGTAATTTCAGTTCCTTTAGGTGATTGAGGGATTTTTTTTTATTAGGGAAGCATCTCACTAATCTGGTGGGGATGGATTAGAATTTTATCACGTTCGGAGGTCCTTTAAAGCCTGAGGTACTTTGTGAATAACTTCTCTCACCTAGGTAAAATTCTTAAAAAAACAAACAAAAATACATGTCTCTAGGAGCTACTTTTTGTTTTAGAATTCTTTTAGAATATGGGCCCTTACATTCCTCACCAGCTGATTTTACATCTTTGCATCCATGTTGTAATGGCATAATTTTATGGTGATTCCTAATCATCAGTACTGAAGCGAGATATTGTAATACCAATGCTAAAAACTTCATTCATGCAGTACAATAACATGTTGCTACGTGGCAAAACATCTATAGATAAGACATGATCCAATACACTTTAAAACCAACTTTCTATTTTAGAAGGTTCTAGTTGTTTCTCGTGGGGTGGTGGTAGAGCAAGCTATAAACTGTGTAATATTTTGATGCTCAGTTTAAGTGTGTATTTTTTATCTTGCACTAAAGCTAATATTGTGATAGCTTTGTGGTTATAAAGAAATTAAATGTTTTTTGCTAGGGTTAGGGTCAGCAAGTTCAATGATTAGTTATGTCTCAGAATGTGTCAGAGTCACATGTCTGGGTTTTTCTTTAGGCCATAGAAAACTTTGCCTTGACAGTGAAAACTACAGCGCAGATGCTACAGAGGTTTGGGTCGGAGCTGGCAGAGACGGAGCTTCCCAATGATGTCCAGAGCACCAAAGACCTACTCGCAGAACACACTGGCAAATACAGTAACCTAAAGGTTAGGCAGCACATTTAGAACACGCTAAATAATGCATGAGAAGACAAATATTTAATTAAAACTAAAGTTCTCTTAACCAATGCCATAAAATGTCCTACCTGAAAAGGAAAGCAGCGAGAATGTGTAGATGTACAAATGTTTTACTAGTTACCTTGTTTACTGTTTAAATGCTTTCATGCCTCTAAAACAGGAGGAGCTGAAGCTAGCTTTAAGACAAGGCAGCACCTTATTTACCTGCATCAAGGACCAGACAGTTAAATCGGAGAACCACAAACTCAAGCCTGACGAGATGGAGAACCAGACAACCGTGGAAAGGTAACTGACACTTTTTATGTCGTGTTGCTAACCTTAACCTATATTAGGAAAATGGCCACCTTCCCATTATACCTGGTGAAGTAGATCCTTTCTGTTGTAGACTCCTGGCCCAGCTCGATGAGACAGAGAATGCTTTCGAACAGTTCTGGTGTAAGCATCATCTGAAGCTGGAGCAGTGCCTGCAGCTGCGCCATTTTGAACAGGATTTCAGAGAAGTAAAACCTCTGCCTGCATGGCAACCTCTGTCCAACAACCTTTGCATAATTTCTGTCCTCCCTTCAAACACCTTCAAGAATAAAACCCCTGAAAGATTTGAAGAAAT